CCAAGTCAAACATCTCGGAGCCAAAAGTTACTGTCACAATGTTCAGTATCTGCCGGGCATTGCGGACGAGCAGTTGGATCTGATCATTTCCTGTCAAGTGTGAGCCACTACGTAACCGAAGCTGGAGCCTGCATAAACTCACTGTCGGGCCAGAAAGGCAGGAAGTCGGATATGAAGGCGCCAAGGTTATTTTGCGGCACCGGAAAGCCCAGCAGAGCACCGAGGGTGGGTGCCAGGTCTGACTGCTCAATCTTGGTGTAGTAGGAGAAGTCCTCTCGAAATGGAACAGGAGCTTGGAGGTTCCGTTGCAAAGCCTTTAGTTTGGGAGAGATAAAAACGAGCGCCGGAGAGGTTTCTCCGGGAGAAGAAGCTCCATGATTGCCGGCATCGTTCATACCGTGATCTCCGCAGAGAACCATCAATGTGGAAGCCATATGTTCTCGTGATTCCATGGCGTTGTATATACGCTTCACAATACCGTCCATCTCATGTTGCTTGGGTACCATGTGTGAGCTAACTATAGTCAGCAAGGGAGATTCGGAAGGCGATCCAAAGCTAATCTTACCTTCGCGGTCCTGATTTATGCCCGATGTGATCGAGCCCGAGGTAGTGGAGAACTAACGTGCTCCAATCGTCATTCTTCAGCTCGCTGTCTATGTGCCTGGTGACATTGTTGTCCACTTCGGTGAAGTCCTTAGACCAGTCAGTTAAGGGACAGCAAGGGATGATCATGAAGACGACGCACTGCTACGAAGAAGCTCGCGGTGCCATCGGCACGGTCAAAAGTGCCCGGGAAGAGCTTCAGCCATGTGTCATCGCCGTACATGAGCATTTTCCCCGTCTCCTTGGCTTTCATCTGGGCAAGCCAGGTATCTTGAGCAGCGAGAGTCGAGGACGAATCTGCTTCGTCCAGGTTCAAGATGACGTCCAGGAAAGACGGGATTGAGCCAGTGGTGATGGCTTTGATTCTGGGCATGGTGACGGTTGGTGACCGCGCATACGCCGTGAAAGGTAGGGCGGCACCATCGCGGATGAGCCTATAACATGGTTAACACGGTGAGAGTGAGACGGTAGAGTGCTCGTCGGCGTACTCTTGAGTGTATGTGAAGCCGGTGCCATTCAAGTATACGAAGTCGCTGTGATGATGTTAGTATTGTCAAAAGCCTGGGGGCACTGTGAGCCGCATTTACCTTCGCAACGCATCAACGACCATAAAAATGAGGCGGTCGAAGGGTGCCTGTGGCGGCGGGCCAAATTCAAGGGCCTCATATTGAGCCAAACCTGGTAGAACCGGCTTATACGGAAAGAAACCGGTAGCAAACGTGAAAACCGCCAGTGGAATCAGGATGTTGGCGATTGTGAGAAGAGCTGCCAGGAAGCCCGGGCCGTACCGAAAAGACATGTTCGTCGCGTATCCATCAAGATGACCTTTGGCCGCAGAATGGCAATGCGAAAGCCTCGTTTACTTTCAGTATATTATTGAAGTCGTCGAGTTGTTTGATGGCTTGAGAATAGAGTCATCGCGTTCAGAAAGCAGCTGCCTTATTCGATCATGATGCGACAAGGGATGAAAGGCGCGCAAACCATGGTGAGATGGAAGACGGGTGAAGTTGCCAATCTGCAGGCAACGGTGGCAGTTCCGTCAAGGTTCTCGGGATCCAGTCGCTTAGACCCCAAATGGGCAAAGCGAGTGTCCGGCAGGCGGAGCAAATAGCTAAAGAGTATGCGCAAGGTATCCGTAGGGATGGTAAGGTATCGAGGTACGGAGTAATCAGGTAGATAATTACCCTGGTACATCGCTGTGAACACAGGTAAACTGACCTGTGGGGGGGGGGGGGGGGGGGTGTTAGCTGACCACCCCACATTTTCACGTGAGTGTGGCCCGTGCCACTCCGCAGGTGATCTAAATGTAATTCAGAATCGATTCGAAATCGATTCTAAATTAGTTTTATATTAAATTAATATAATATAAATAAATTTTAATATCAAATTTTATTTTTAATTAAATTACTTATAGATATATTTTTAAGTATTTTTTAAGAAAAATAGTATTATGAAAACTAAAATTAAAATATAAAGCTACTATTAAATATTAAAATTAATAAAAATTAATTTAGAATTAATTCTAAATTAGTTCTGAATTAATTCCAAACTAATTCTAAATAAACTTTAAAATTATTTTAAATATATTTATAAAAAACTAAAAACTTAAATTCTTATATTTATATAAATTATTTAATACTTTAATTAGTATAATATATGTATAAAAATATTTTTTTATATTAAAATAAGTATATTTTATAATATTTAAGTTATAATTTAGAATTAGTTCTAAATTAATTCTAAACTAGTTCTAAATCACCTTGAGATTACTTTAGAATTAGGTCAACTGGACCCACTTATTTTCCACGGGCCAATCAGAAGAGCGCTCAGGTCACGTCCCTTTTCCTTGGTCAGGTCAGGTAACCGGGGGGGCCACAGGTCAGTTTACCTGTGTTCACACATCGCTAGGCATGATGGACATAACAGGACCTCGGGAGCTGAGAGGACACTGTAACAGCTCTTGCACAGGGATGACATGCACCGAACTGGAGGGAGTCGCGCCCGAACGATGATTGGTCGAGAACATAGTAGGGGAGTCCGAGCAGAGAGAACCCCGGCCGATACGACCAGTAGGTAATATTGTTCCGCTTCACCCGGCACAGGACTGAGTATCAATGAATGAAGTACGTTGAAATAGTATTGAACGTGGAGTAACTGGAGGTTGATAGTGATTTTTCATTATTCGTCTGGCAGCTATTTGGCCATGCCCAGCGCCATGTCTACCGGTCTATCAACTGTTTGACCGCGTCTCCAATGTACTCTCTCAATGGGGTGAAAAGTGTGAAATGACCCCCCAAAATAACCGATGAAAATTTTAGTATCCCACTATTCACAAGAACGCCGGAAAAGGAATTGGATATGTCCAGGAATGAGTTCCTCATCATGAGACTCGCCGAGTGAGCGCGCTACGATTTTTCTTGATCGAGCGCGACTCTTCGCCCATGATGCTGCAAAAGGCGAGGGGAATAACCAGTGAAAGGACAACAAGCCTTTACTTTCTCTTGGAAACTCCGCCCTTGGAGCCTCCGCGACGATCGCTGTACTTGGGGAAGACGACCTTGGAAGTCTTCTTCCTTTGCTTCTGAATTCTTCCAGAGCGACGCTTGGGTTTCGCCGAGTCAACGTCCATGGCTGTGACGAGAGTCAGTCTTTGTGACGGGAATTATCGAGTGAGCTCAGCTTACAGGTGTCATCCGCCTTGGCCTCCTTCTTCTCATCGTCACCGTTGATTTCCGCTTTTGGAATGTCAGTTTCGAAACTTTTTGCCTCATGGAACTGCCTTGGAAAATGGCTGGGAACTCACCATCGTCGTCATCCTCAACATCCATCTTGGTGTCTGCCTCCCTCTCAGGCTTGGGGGCCTTTGCCAATTCTAGCAGCTTCGCCGAGAGACGCTCGGCTCTGGCCTGCTCAACGGGACCAAAGACATTTGCCTTGAGTCTCTGGTTGTTCTTCTTGATAACGCTGGCTCTCGCGCTTTTGGCCATTGCTGCGGATATGTACCGGGCGGTGTAGTGTTTATGAAGGATTTGAGGAGACGTCTCGCTGTGTTTATACAGGCAAGAAGTTAACAGCAGGCTGAGTGAGGAACAACCTTGATATGTCTCGGATTACTGAGAAATGTCGAGTATTCAAGTCGGTGAGAGTGACCATGTGAAAGCAAACGGTCTTCACTGAGTGATGATAGGAAATTTTACACAGGTGGTTGCAGCCGTGCCCCGCCTGCCAATCCAGTCGTCCAGTCAGGAAGGGTATGCAGGCCGCAGCGCTTTGGACGGCAGCAAAACCATCCTGGCGTCTCACTCACATGGGCTAGACCACCTTCACCTCAGTCAATCGGCCGTCGTAGGGGCTGCCGGCTATTGACACCCCCACATTCTTCCAAACACCTGGAAGGCGCCTCTGGCTGGCGGTGGTTTCCAGAACGGGACGGGCAATGACCCAGGAATTTTGGTTTCTCAAATGCGTTGTCTGCTTCTTAGGGGACACAGATGCTGAAACAACGGCGGACCGCCCACTAGAGAGTCATCGGTTCAGGCTTTCACCTGCCCGACGGGGACGTTCAACTACTCTCCCCTAAGAAAGACCACACAGAGCCGCCATTTCCTGCCTACACACTTCCCGGCCAGTGTCCACACCATCATCGAGTCTCACTAGTTGTGAATCTCACCTCAGCACTTCCCTTGGATAACTCACCTTCACGCTTCACTTGCTTTAATTCAGGCCCACATCCAGAATACGGCTTGATTGCTGCTGTAGTCGCAAGGTATTCAGCTGTGGTGGGCTCCTACCCGTTCAGTAACACCCGTCTTCACAGAGCCCCCAAAGGCCGATAGTCGCGGATGACATCAAACCTTTGCTGACTCAAGAAATGGCCCCTGGCCTAGTTTGACCTCACTTCATCCGTACGCTGGACTAATGCCGTTGCTCTTACCTTGGGCGTCGATATCATATTCATATTACTGCTCGATGCAATAGAGTTCGTATCGGTGGGTAAGCGCACAAGCAATTTCGCACACATCAGGGTCGTTACCTGCTATCGTTGTCGCATTTGGGAACATTGGTATATCCCTCTGCCTGTCTCCATTATCGCAAAGCCGAGAGTGAAGAAGGAAAAAAAAAGACGGGAAGGGCAGCGCAGCAGCAGAGCCGCCACCACCACCAACCCACCGAGCAGTACGGGACGGGAGCTACCTACCCTGCCCTTGCCTTCCTCGACCGACCCGACTGCAACTTCCCCACGCACTTTTGGCTCTTGCCTGTCGGCGCGCACCACGAGCCTCGTCGCTCCTGCCTCGTGTGGTCGCGCCCATGACTGTTATTTTCACTTGAGGCCCGTCGTTCTCCTTCTCTTCTTTGCTTTCCACCCATTCCTCGGCCGACGACTTTGACGCAGACAAGTATCCGCCACCTACCCCCACGGCCTGTCGACGGCGCCTCTAGGTACCAACGACCGAAGTCGATCCGACGTCGCACCTGCGAACCTTCATGAGGCCGTCACCGAAGACACCACCACAACCCTTTCACCTCGCCCGAGAACCATGACCTCCATACAGAGGCATGAGCTCCAGGCTCTGGTCAAGCTGGTGAACAGCAACCAGCTTCTGAACCGCCAATTATCCCAAATTTGTCAGCTCAACGGGCTCACTAGCAGCGGCGTTAAGGCGGCTCTGCAAAGTCGCATCGTCAGTGGTGAGTACTTTTCCTTCTTGAGCCCTTTCGGCCGCCTGAGATACCTCCTTTTGCGCCCCTTCTCTGGCTCCAGCTGTTTCACGGGCGCTGTCGTGTCTGAGCATTGCTCCAGGCAGCGAAGTTTGCTTCTCAGAACCACCTAAGGCTAACATCTTTTGCCCGTCAGCTATCGAAGAAGCCTTCAAGAACAGCGACGCGACTCGCTTCCAGCAAATCCAACGAAGCATCGAGACCACAAGGACCGGCTCCTCCGCTTCGCCCGCCTCTCAAAAGAGTGGACGTCCCGCCACAGCGACTCCGCCAGTGTCAATGATGCGGCAAGACCAATACTGGGGGCGCAATGCCCGCCCCAGCGGTGCGAATGGCCCTGCTCTGCCCGGGTATGGATCAAGCGGTACGTCATTCCCTCAAAAGTCCTTTGAACAAACGCTTAACTTTGATGCAGGGCTCTCTTTCAAGAACAGTCCCTTCTACGAGATCCAGTTCCGGGTAGGCGATGTGCGCTCGTGCGAGGGTAGGTCGCCATTTCATGTTTCATCTTGGTCGTTGCTAATTTCCCAATCAGCTATGAGCCAGCATAGGAACATGGTCTCAATTCCAGTCAAAGTCAGCGATAATCTCAATCTGAACAGAGTTCTCGATGACAAGTCACTACGCATCATGGTCTTCTGCGCCGGAGATAGCAATGGCGTCCAGGATATCGCGTTTCCCCATCAGTCGGAGATCAAGGTCAACGGTAACGAGGTCAAGGCGAATCTCAGAGGCTTGAAGAACAAGCCAGGCTCGACAAGGCCAGTCGACATTACGAGTTATTTGCGTCTGAAAAATGACAACAGAAATCTCGTTGAGTTCACCTATGCGTTGACTCAAAAGGTGGGTTGCCTCAGATTTACGAATCTCAATACCCTGCTCCGTCTTTTACCGCTGACACTTAATTTGTTTGCAGAAATTCTATCTTGTCCTGAATGTCTGCCGTATCACCTCGGCCCAGGACCTGGCCGACAACATCAAGAAGGGGCAGAAGATCCCCAAAAACAAGGTGATTGAGGAGAGTACGTTTTGCCGATTTACTCCCATATTATCAACAAGAGACTAAAACCCTCCAGTCAGCAAGAAAGCGGCGGATACAGATATCGTCACGACATCTCAAGTCCTGTCTCTTAAGTGTCCTTTATCCTACATGCGTCTTGATGTCCCGTGCCGCTCTGTCAACTGTTCGCACATCCAATGTTTCGACGCAACGTCGTACCTCCAATTGCAAGAGCAGGGCCCTCAGTGGCTTTGCCCGATTTGCAATAAACCGGCGCCATACGCACAGCTGGCCGTTGACGAGTAAGTCCCATGTATCGCCCCCACAATTTCTAGCTAACATCCGTCGAAGGTACGTAAGAGACATCCTAGCGAACACATCAAAGTCCCTAGATCAAGTCACCATTGAACCCGACGGACAGTGGCGAGTGAACACAGGACAGGCCGAGAACAGGCCGACCAATGGTGGAAGCGGCCTTGTTGACGAAGACGATGATGACGACGACGACGACTGGGGTATCGTGGAGGTCAACCCAGTTCGCAGTCGAAACTTCGAAACTCCCAACCGGTCAGTCGCCAGCACGGCAACTCCGACGACAACGGTGATGTCTCGAGAAAGCTCGACGATGCCGCGGGGCGTGGCCACAACAAGCGCCAAGAGACTGCATTCGGATAGGGTGACAATAGACCTGACCCTATCAGACGATGATGAGCCAGCCGCACCGCCTCCGAAGCGGCAACAACTACAGGGGGCGGGATCGAGTAACTACAACAGCAATGGTTACAGTAGCAGCATGTTTTGAGGAGGCCACCCTGGCAATCTCTATCAACGAGCTGCGAGACATGGAGCATGAGGTTAGCCGCCTCAATAAGCACGTACATACTTCCCTACCTAATGAAGGCGGATTTGTGGCTCATGTATGTGTTTTTTCTTTGGGCGTGGAAACGGACGGATGGATAGCTGTCCAGGCGTTTAGGAGGCAAAACATATTCCAACAGCCCCAACAGCCTTATGCCATAGGCATGAATCAGGGCGATAGCAGGCGTCTGAGCAAAGCTCTACTTAGATGTGAGGTAGATGCCTCAGAAACTTTGCCAGCTTGGTACCTTAGGAAAGCGAGGGATACAAATACCAAACACTACGCTACGGATATCACATCCGTATAATGAGATGAAATCACTCTGAGGACTCTCCTCTTCGTCTACGTCCATCATTACCCGTCCGTGATCGTGTGCCAACATAACGTGCAAGTTGTCTACTGTAATCCCTGTCGAATCGGAATTGGAGCTCTGGTGGGTGGACCCTGAAGAGCTTAGAGGCCAGCTCCACGACGTTCCATGTCAAATCAGGTACGTACCCGACCTCGCTCTTTCAGGTACCTACCTACCTAGGTAGCGGCTTCAATCGTTCATCCGCCTCCAGCTACCTGCTACCTACCTTGAACCGCACATTGGCCTTGACGAAACAGTGTCCAAAACTACTCCTGCGATTTCCTTCAAGCGCCATTGCATCAACGTCATCTCTGATTCCACGCCGAACTGACTATTACGAACTTCGCTGCCTAGTCTCCATTGCCTTGGATCAACACCAAACTTTCATCGCAATCGAGCCCCACACAGACAAACGAACCATACTCGAGAGAGCCAATAACCGCGCGAAACCCTCCTCGACGAAGCCAGGAACCATAGCGACTATTCTTCCACGCCCATACCACAATTAGCTTCCCAGCCAGCAAGAAGCCATGTCCTTCGAAAGCGTCATGCCGCCGTACAACGCCACGGACCCGTCGGCCTCCTTCCTTAACTCCTCCTGTCTCGACTTCCTCCTCATCGAGCTCGTGCCCATGGCCTTTCGCGTGACGAGAGACCTCGAAGCCGCGCCGACTGATGCGAATAGTGCCGGTGGGGGCGCTGCCGCTGCAGGAGGAGGTGCTTCAGCTGACGCGCTGTCGACGGTGAGCCACAGTCAGGGCGGGGGGGCCGACGGAGGTGCTGCGCCGTCGAGCGCGGACGGGGCTGCGGGCGGGAGCACAGTCAGGAAGCTGGACGAGGACGAGGAGCGGGATGCGGTGTTTTATCGGCTTGAGACGCTGGGATATCGTGTTGGGCAGGGGCTTGTTGAGAGGTACGTTTCCTCTTGTGCCTCCCTCCTCTTCCTCTGTGCGCCGCCTTTGGCGATAGCAAGGGGGGACGAAGACACAGTATTGGGATTTTACAACGATTGGAAGCTGACGGTCTATGAACTTGGTGTTCAGATTCTCGAGAGACCGGCCACGATTCAACGATACGCTCGACGTCATCAAGTTTGTCTGCAAGGATCTTTGGTCGCTCGTGTTTAGAAAACAGATTGACAACCTCAAGACAAATCACAGGGTACGTCAGCGATATCCCCTCTACCTATCGGAAGGCCTGGTCAAGGGCGACGCTCCAGACGAGCGACTTGGGAATTGGGTGGCTGATCTAGTCCGTTGGAATAGGGCGTTTACGTACTGACAGACAACTCGTTCAAACCTTTCTCGAGAATGAGTACAGAAGCTGGCGGACAGGCGGTTGTTCGGGCACAGCCAGTACGTCTAAACCCACGCCGATCTATCAATATGACGACCTACAGGGTGCTGACTTGTTTGGCTACAGTTCCTCTGGTTCCCGTGCGGGATTGTGCGCGGAGCGCTAGCGGCGTTAGGTATCAACGCAACCGTCCAAGCCGAGACCAACGAGCTGCCGGCAGCTATTTTCCAAATCAAGACCCTGCCGTCAAGCACATAATACCCAACTTCACGTATCAAGAAGCCCCTGTCCCAAACAAATGGCGCGTGGGGAAACCATAGAGAAGTGTCAATGACACGGCATGCAAGCGTTGAAAGAATTTAGACTTTTTGCAGAGTATCGACCAAAGATCTGGTCATTCGAGTTGATGCCCAAGGTGTCTTACTCCAATTATAAACCAGCAGCAATTATCGCCATATCCAAAACTACCGACGCCGTTGCCCTACGTACGCGGACTCAAGAGAATCCCAGCTGGTGTTATATACGCTGGTCAACCATACACTTGCGAGACCAATAACACCTCACAGCCTAGGAAAAAGAAGAGTCGATCAGCCATAATTCTCCCTCGGTTGTATTTCATCTATCACCATTTTTTGGCTACATTGTTGGAAGCTGTTGTCATGCGGCTTCCTTGAGAGGGGGTCGGGGGCTGTTACTGGAAACAAGTGTACAAAGGGGGGAATCACTTTTGGGGAGCCTTGTGGGCGAACTCGACACCCTTCTGAATGTTGCCCTTCAATCCTGCAACCGCAGCCTCCAGAAGCTTCTGCTCCTTCTCTGTGATGTCGCCAAGAATGTCGATGGCCTTCTCAGCACCGTTGGGCTACGAATATGTCAGTGTTGGGTCCCATTCAGATTTGGACAGGGGACAGGATGGAATGCTGTGCAACTTACGCCAAGCTCGATGGGAACGGAGAAGAAGTCGACGCCGGTCTTCTTGGCAATCTCCTCGCCGCCGGGAACGCCGGGGAGGTAGACGTAGCTAGGCTCAACAAGACCCTTCTCGCCCTTAAGGGCCTTGAGGACTTTCTCGGCGAATCTATCACACGTCAGTCCCTGACCTTAAGTTGTCGAGCGTCCGATTTCTTACCTGTAGCCAGCGTAGGCCATGGAGAGAGTGGCAGAACCAGCGCCGTCCTTGGCCTTGACAACCTCGTCACCACCGAACTGGACACGGTTGACGAGAGCATCGTACTTGTCGTCGGCGATGGACACTGAAGGCTTGACCTTGCTGAAGAGGGGAACAATGGTCTCGCCGGAGTGACCGCCAATAACGGGAACATTGAGCTCGCTGGTGGACTTGCCGGAGATCTCGGCAACGAAGGTCTCGGCTCTGACAATGTCGAGAGTTGTGACACCGAACAGACGCTGAGGGTTGAAGACGCCCTTGGCCTTCAGAACCTCGGCGGAAATAGGGACTGTGGAGTTGACAGGGTTGGAGATGACAAGGATGAAGGCCTTGGGGGCGACCTCGGCCGCAACCTCGATGAGGCCCTTGACGATACCGGCATTGATGTTGAAGAGATCGTCGCGGGTCATGCCAGGCTTGCCTAGAGTGGATTGGCCGTTAGAAAGAAGCAGCGGACGAGGCTCCGCAAGTGTAACTCACGAGGAATACCAGCGGGAATGACGATGATATCGGCATCCTTGAAGGCGGCCTTGGCGCCATCATCCTTGGGCAGGTAGCCAGCGATTTTCTGTTTGCGGCACCTCTGTTTAGCAAGCTATCGGTACTACGGGTGCCACGAGACAATTGAGACTGCGATGAAACGTACCGCATTGGAAGAGATGTGGGAGAGATCGGTGGCGACGCCTGGGGTGTTGACGACATCGTACAAGGCAAGCTCATCGACGAGGGGAGAGAGCTTGAGGAGGAGGGACAGAGGCTAGAGTAGACAGGTTGGTGGTGAGCAATGTGAACGTTATTTGCTGACCACGCGGGGTTCCGGATTCGCTGTACCTGTCCAATACCGCCAGAGGCGCCAGCAACAACTAAGAAATGATTAGATTGACGAGGCTTTGCGCGATAGTCTCAGGTGGTGGGAACATACCGGCCTTGACCATTTTGATTGTGATTCTTGTTATTCGGTTTGAGAAAGGAGATGGATGAAGGAGGAGGGTGGCCTGAAGGGTTCTCGCGGATTAGCGGGGTGATCTTGGAGCTTTGCTCGCTTAACATGTCGAGCTCTGGCGCATGGTACGAGACCAAGTGTGGGGAGCTCTCGCTACAATTATCCAAGCTTGTCAAGTACTAAGGTGAGGGGGGGAGAGAGGTCATCGTCAAACGTACAGTAGTCACGTAAACTGAAGGTTTTGCTGGTAAGATGGAAGATGTATGAGGATGAATCTCACAAGAGCGGGAGATCGTTTGCTTTAGTATGAAAAGGGAGAGCAAGAGAGGAGAAGTAAACCGAGCCAAGGTTACGTAGAAGTAGTCTGAGCCAGCTGATACCTAGTCCGGAGGCTGTCGGCGGGGACGTAGGTTCAACCGCGGGGAGAATTGCGACCTTTGGTTTCCCACCCCTCGTTCCGTGGGACTTTGCCTGTGTCATTGGATGGAGGGGTCAAAAAGAGGGGCAACTTGGAGGGGTGAGAAGGGGACCATGGGGGGGCCGCTCCTGAGGCAGGGCAGGCACGGGGGGTTCAAGTTTCCATTGTAGCTATTGCACGCTCCTCCATCGCTCCTCGAGGTGAGGTGGTAGCGGCGGCAGGCGCCAGTAATGCGCAGAAAAGCGACTCGACAGCAGCACTGCGCGTGTAGTTACCTTACGGCATTGTACCTCATGTACTGCGCCGCTGCACCCAGCAAGCCCGATCCCGTAGCTTATACTTGCGCGGTTGCGGTGCTTTATTAGCCGGACCAGTTGCTGCGTTGCTTGCTCGCTGGCCCTGCTGATGCTGCTGCTGCCGCTGTCTCGGGCTGCAGAGTGGACAAAGAGAGGAGCAAGTGCAAGGTAAGGTACCTTCCGGCTTGCCGCACTAGGGAATAGCTGTCGCAGATACCTCTTCATTCGACCCAAACAAAGGCGGCCACTGAGACACGCCCAGCCCATGGAAGCAGTCGCTGAAGGAAAGATAAAGATACATTCTACAGGTACCTACCTTAGGTGCTCTGGATGTTTCCCGCCCACTGCCCAGTGCTTGCTCAATACCTAGCATCGATTGCGCCAATCCCCTGCCACCAACGTCCTGCAACCAATTGCAACATCCGTCGTCAACCCGTTTTGTTCGCCATTCACCTCCGGTCTGATGCATGTGAGAGACGGACGAGGCTAACACGGTAATTCGCCCCCCGTCAACTCCCGGCCAGCTGGACCAATGCCTTCCGATGTTTTCCTGCTGATGAACGGTCCCCCGTCCTCGTCCCGATGTCCCGATGTCCCCGAGCTCCAGGGGTAGCTCGTTCCTATGTATAGCCAAAACTCGGGTGTGGGAACGGTAGAAACAACCTAACGCAAAGACGGGCCCCATTATTCCTATGGGAAGCCTGTGACATGCTTCAGATCGTGATAGCTATCATTATCCTCGGCGATGAGACAGCTGGGCAAAACATAACCTACGGGCCCTGCCTGTGGTGTTTGGGCGGGCGAATAGCTCACTAAAAATACATATTCACTCATCGTTGCTTCTACGAGGTTAAGATCTTGCTCATGGAACATGTAAGAATTACCTACACTGCGGCACGAATTACTCACAATATCAAGAGTACGTACCGTTGTGTTAGAAATGCCATGTTAGGAGCACCTATGCAACCCCGGCTGGCAAAATTACCCCGCCATGTATGCGCAGGTGCCATTCCACGTATCTCGATCAGGTCAATGTCGGCGAAGACTTACTCCGTGCAAGACGTAGAAGCGTCCCTGTCTTTCATCATTCATCAACACTCCAACAACAAACTGCAATCAATATACCGCTCCACTACACAATACTTTTGGGGGGCAACGTAGGAAGATGGTATGGCTCAAGCCGGAATGACACCCTCGACATTCCGATGCTTGCCCGTGGTCCCGAGGTTCAGCAGGAATTCGCTCTCTACTCTAGTCGGGCAACTCCGGGTAAGGGCCGAGGACCACGGCATCGACAACACCATGACCCGTAGTCCGGCTACTGTGCTATCTCAATGTCGGCCTCTTCGATCACCCTCACTCCACTCCCACTCCGAGCTTTCCCTTTCTGTGCAGGCGCGCGTCATGGCATAAGATAAGGTATACTTCAACATGCATCATCATCATCGCCCTTCCAAGTCGTTGGCCCAGAGCCTCACAAATCCCTCACACGCATGGCATCAAATGCGAAGGGGGGAAGCAGCAGCACTCGTTTGGAGCAAACGAAAAACCAGTCCCAGTCATTATTTTGTGGCCTTTGACTCAAGCTTTTGATTTGTTTCGCCTGTGTCCCTCAAAAAGGTATTCTCTATTTGCTCGACGTAACGCCCAAACCAAGCCTGTTTCTTTCTCTTTTTTCGTCCCGCTAAATCAGCATCTCAACATTTATGCCTCAGCCTCGGCAGCGGCGGCGGCCTTGGCCTTGACACCGCGGGGCTTCTTCTCGGGGGTGGCCTTGACGGCGCGCTGGGAGCGGCGGATGGCAGAGACGCGCTGGACAGCGGCCTCGCGGAGGTCGCCACGGTAGCCGCCGGCGGCAGCCTGGCGGGCAACGGCGGAGTAGGTCCTATGGTTCGACAGCCGTCAGTCATCTGTTTGTTCTCCAGAATCCTCGTGCTTGCCCCGTTCCATGTGCCGCATTACGACAACAAGTTTGTGGTTGTAGCGGTGGTCCAAAACTCACTTGCGGGAAGACTTGTTGCCGCCGTAGATGACCTCGGTGTAGCCCTAGGAGGGCTTGTTGAAGTTCTTCTGGTTCTTGCTGATCACCTTGACACCACCCTTCTCGTTGGGGACAACGCCGATGGCCTAATCGTCACATGTCAGTCATCTCTGTGCTACGTGGTGTTACGAAGGATCGAATCGTTCGAGCGAGGGAGGAATATCGAGTTCGATCGGCCTGGGGTGTAATCGTACCTTGTCGTTGACGAAACCGGCGTACTGCGATACAAGTTAGCCAAAGATGCCCTTCAACCCCGCCAGTATTCTGACGATTCGATCCCAACATACCTTGCGGGAGTGCTTGTTGACCAGGTTAAGGGGGTCGCGGGAGAGCTGGAGACCGCCGGCGTCGTTGCGGTTGACCAGGAACGCATTCTGGGCGCCTGTATCGAGAAAACAAGCAGGTGTGAGCAAAATTGCGCATTCAGATCGAGTTCGGCATCGCTGGCAGCCGGGCGCCGCGGTGAAACTTACGGACGACCTCCCAGATCAGGTCGGCGGAAACGTTGGGCAGAGTGGCGGCCATTTTGACTGATTTGAGGGATCACGGAATGGTTGATGAATACCTTCACGATTGCTCTGATGCCGGTCTGCGTGTTCGTAGAATTCAATGGCCTGAATTGAATGTGTGGGCTATCGCTTAGCAGTCGCTTTGCGGACTAGCGTCTCTTGGGTCCACTCATTTCATCGGCGACGCCACACCGAGTCCCCTCCGGGGCACAAAAGCCCTCCCCGGCGGGCCAGTCTGAATGTGGCTGGTGATGGCGGTGCACTTGCATCCTGAACCGGCTCGAAGTACAACCTCGTCCTCGTCATATAAGTCGACCGCAATTGCGATTACGTATTTCCAACTACACGAACTCAATGATCAAATGTACTAGCACGCGGTAGGCTCAAGCTCTTTTTTAGTCGGTTCAGGATTCAGAAACTCGAGTATTGCGTCTCTTCCAACATATGTGGCTAAGCTCAAAAACTTGACAGTTGCAAGCTAATATCAAGACAATATATTATAAAGCGCGGTCCTTGGATAAGGCCTGTAATGTTTGGCCTTCTTTTCTATACTATTTCTAGTATGTCCTGATTTCCTAATTGATAGCATGTTTGAATTACGGCCTAGATCGGTCAATTCAACGGGCGAAATATTCATGGTATTAATCCGAGGCACAAAGGTGAACCGCACATCGAGTAACGACACACTCCATGGTGTTGAAGTGCCTAAAGTCTAGGCATATCTCCGGAGAATCTTCGCTGACTATCAATGCTTTAGTACTGAGTGTAGCTAATGGTTACCGTTCAAGTGATTCATACAAATCCATCATTCGGCTCGATGTCATGCCATCGGGTCCAGCCTACATATCCGGTAGGCACATCCCAACGCCAGGCCATAGCATCTTATCCTCTCATGAAAAAAGCTCATTGGTCTTGTATGGGCGCATTTATCCAGTCTCTTGTGTAGTACTTCATTACAACAGGTATAGTACGTTGACAAAGAGGCCAACTTTGCCAATCCTAAGGTATTTAAGGCACTGCATATCCATTGTCGATCCTCCACTGCAAGGCAGTCGAATTCGTCTGTGAGAGGCACTGCCAAGGTAGGCACTCTAGCTCACTTCACCATCTGGCTCGACAGAATGATTCGTCTTTGTATACGTGCACAATGCCAAGCAGGTAAAAGTCGCTGGTCTGTGGCTCTTACGTGGATCGCCGTCTTCTTTCAGAACTTATTCCATATTGTTACATCACCTCATCATGTTAGTCGACGATATTCTCGTTCGTGAGCCATCCAGAAGGGTAACGGTGACAAAGCGGGTTGCCTCTTGGGCACCTTTAAGGGGCTTTTCACTCTAAATACACAGTATCGCTCTGCTGCGGGGCTATGAAGTTATATTATTCACACCATTGATTTCCCATCTAGAGGCAAGGTCTATCCATATGGGAAATGATCTTATGGCAACACCTCTCGTCTGCGGATATGTAATCGTCATGTTATCCCAGCAAGCTACCGTTTCGACATAATATCGGTTCCACATCGTGACCATGACATGTATAGTCCAACTGCTGATTACACCTATATGTTCGAAACCCGCCGGCTATCTCTAGAACTCGAATTATTTCACAGGCAGTATGTCAGAATAGCTCTGTTGCTTTTGGGAGCCCCCCCCCCCCCCACCCACCATTCAGGTTGAGACAAGCGATGGAATACTGTGTGATATAGATACAGCTACTCTACCATTGGACATTTAGGCAACACTGTCTACAAAAAAAAGTATGGACATTTACTATGTAGGCGCCGAAGCTGAGGTACATTCGCTCTTCAAGAGCAAACCTTCATCGGAGGCTGCCACCTTTCTCAGGCCGGACGAAGGTATCCAAGTTGCGAGCGCCGGTGAGCCCCAGCTACCGGGATAATCAAGTTTCCAGGGGCCGAGCTCTGGGGTACCTCTTGGGACTCTCTTATGCAGAAGCCTTAGTTACGCGTGTCATGGAAATTGCCTTTCACCTCCTGGTTGCGTGGCCTCAACCACGAAGAGTGGTATTAAGAGCATGTCCACAGATAAGGTAGTTGAAGTAACTCATGTAGAGTCTTCACCGACCTCGACATAGTCACATACAATGAAGACCAGGAACGCAATGTAAGGACTGAGTCGGCCCTGAGATCATTTACTGGTCTCCAGCTTTGTTCGTCGTGGAAGGTACGGATACATGGCAGCTTCAGCACGTCCCGTGGCCCAGCTGGCGGGGGCGGAAGTATTCACGTGATGCAAATGGAAGCTTGCCCGTCGGCATCCGTAACGGTCTCCCTGGCGGCCCAGGCCCCTGCCACGGTACCCTGCGCTTGCCCTGCGCCCAAGCCTTACAAGTTACGTACGTACTTGTAGGTAGTACGCCTTCGAATGCTCCATGCCCGACCTTAGTAAGTGGATCCCCATGGAAGTCCAAAAGCTGCAGGATCAGACGGGATTACGGGGGGCAGTGACAGCCCGAGTCCACCTTCAGCGACGCTGAGTCCCTGAGGGCTCTCTCCCATTTCCGAAAGAGGCCAACTGGGGAGCCTGGGTAGTATTAGTGTCCAGCGCACTTACGCAGCCCGCACCACTGCACCTCCACATCATCGGTACGCCTGGCTCGTCGCCGAACTTCACCACTTACACTTCCATTCCACATAACCTCACTCTGCCCTGGAGTCAAACGCGACCGTCTGTCTCCCTGCAGGTGCCGACATGATCCTTTGATCCTTTCGAACGGCAGTCTCTGACCGTTTGCGCCAAAACACCATTCTCTTTGTGACTTCTTTTTTCCCACACTATTCATTTCCCTTGCCTTCCGTTCTGTTCATTCTAAACCACGACGATCACCACCGCTACTAGCTTTTCGGAGCCTAGCCACCTAAGCAGCCGGCGATTGCGAAGCAACCACACCAGCGTATCGGCGACCAGCCCAACGTCATTCCACCTCGACCGCGCCCTCGAAAGCGAAAGTCGTCCAAAATGTCGTACCTCCTCTACTCCGTCTCGTTCCTCCTCCTCATCACCGCAACGGCCCTCTACTTCACCCGCGGTCACTGGCTCCACCTCGTTCCCGACCTCCCGATCCCCGGCCGTGACTACATCTACTCCCGTCTGCCCTCCTCCTTCGTCGGCGACATCGACGCCGGCCTCTCGAGCTCGACCTTTGACTTGGCGGGCAACGTTGAATCAGGCGATAGCCGCGCAGGGCTCGACGATCGCAGCAAGAAGGAGATTCTCAAGATCATGAAAAAGCGCCGCATGAAGTTTGACGACGCGCGCAGGGTGTACATGGAGCAGCGCTTCAAGGCCAACGGTATCGGACCGGATGGGAGGCCTTTGGATCCCAAGGCTGTCACGTTCAGCTAGGCGAGGCATGCACGAGCTACCGAGAGAGAGAGAGAGAGAGAGGCGACCAGGGGATACCCGATACAGACCGGGTAGGCGAAAAACGTCGTTTGTAGCATATGTTTGCACTACGATACGAATTACCGACGACAACACCATTATATGTCATTCGAGAGGAGGGAAATGACCATAAAGGATCATTTCTGATCACTTTGCACCGGAGCATAACTCAATATTCCCGAGCTTTCGCCTCCAACAACCACAAATCCTTCTAACGCGCCCAAACAGGCCACCGACTACTTTTCCTTGCTTATCAACTCTTCGACATTCCACTACTTCCTAGGGCAAACAGGCGTTGCAGCGAGCTTTTCTTACGCTTCTCTTTCTTTTTCTATGTTGTTTGTTCTTGGGTTTCCCGATGGTGGACGTTTCTAAGGGTCTGGCTGACAAAGCCTTCTTTGCGCCGGTATGGATCGGCGTCTTCTTTTGGTATTATCTGTCAATGTAGAGCTTGCGTGACACAGCTTCAACGGATTTTCACTCTTGTTACCTTCACGTATTCATCCTCTTTTTTACTATGTGACCCAACTTTTCACCCTGTCCATCCTACGAGACTGCACGGGCTTCCGGTAGTCCGGTAGATGTGACACTTGAGTCCTTCTTCTCCTCGGCATTTGCCAGTGTGTCCTTCAAACCTCATGTCATTCTGGAGTTGGCATTCTGGAACCTCTAGAGGGTCCAGTTGCGCTACTAGCTATTATACCCTGGGTCCATCCACACCTGCAGACCGTCAGATGGCTTCGCTCCCATTATATCACCATCATCCGTCCGTATCGCGCCCGGCATTCTATTTAGCCGATTCATATATATATACACAAGCAAAGGTATGGCAAGAGCCAAAGTATTACAAATATCTAGAAAGTGATTTCTTCAGCTGTTCACTTGCGGCTGGTTTTTTGCGCTGCGCGTGTCCAGCACACTTTGAACTGGCTCTCATTTCGTCTTCTTCGCCTCGGCGGCAACGTACTGGCGGTCGTCGTCGCCCTCAACCTCCTTTTGGATGTCTTCCATCTCCTTCATGTTGGACTCCCACGTCTCCTTGGCCATCTTGGTCTTCTTGTTGAACCAGGCTAGGTCGGGCTTGCGGTAGGTGCCACCGAGACGGTCCCAGAGGGTAGTGAACTGGCCGTAGTTGTAGCTGCCAAGTCTGTTAGAAAGTGCGAAGCTCTCGGCTCTCTCACGTTGTCAGAAACTTACTTGAAGTACAAGTGGTGGGCGGTGTGGCACGCTGAGCCGTTGATGATGGGGTTGTCGGTAATGTACTCGCCGTCGTGGATGAGAATGGTCCAAAAGTTGATAAACACAAACAGTGCGACGTATGCCAGCTTGTTGAGAGGGAACAGCATCGGGTAGACGTGGTACGGGACCGACTGCGCGAAGCCGTCGAGGGGGTGGAAGGCGTGGCTGGCGTAGGGCGATGGCATGATCCACTTGTGGTGAGGCTTGTGAAGGTGCTTGTAGACGAGTGGGAGATGTAGCCATCGATGAGCCCAGTATATGCACAGGTCGGTGAAGAGGATGAAGAGCGGGAACTGCGCATAGTCATACCAACGGCCGGGGCCCTCCTCTGTGGTATCGTAGAGCTTGCAGTAGCCGCGCACTTCGGCGACAA